GCAGCAGGCAATCTGAGTCTTAAAAGTAAAGTTAACAGCCCTCTTTGCCGTAAGGTTTCCAAATGGGCATGTCACACACGTTCTTTATGGACATCTGCCCAGACATTCAGATGAACACCCCAAGAGATGTGAGCTTCCACCTCAAACTCAGTGGCTGCATCTTAGTTCTCCAGTTTAACTACTGAATTACTGATTGCTTCTGCAAACAGCTAAAAGAGTGAGAAAAGCCAACAGAGAACAACTAGAATTACTATCATGGGGAAAAATTGAAATAGAAAGGCAAACAGAGATGGGGAGGGAAGGGGAGCCTAGTGAAGGACAATGGGGACAGGGAAGGAAACACACGAGGAGAGTACTGAGGGAGAGGGACACTATGGAGAGAGAGGGGGAACCACAAACCTCCCCTCAACATGAGAGACCCAGAACCACAGAAACAATGGCACCCAAAATCTGAGCTACCCCTCCACACTCACTGGCTCGCTCAATCCTTCCCTTTGTTCCTTCCCAAAGCCTTAGGCTGGTCACTACAGTCAGGGGAGCGAGGCTGTGCTGTGGTGGGACCTCCAGCACCTACTTTCCCGCTCTCCCATCCCCTCAGCTACTGCCAGGACTGGGCTTCTCCTGCCTCCATACCAAGCAGCTGGAGCCGCCCAGGGCCTGCCAGAGCCCCCTCAGCACACCCCAGGCCCCCAAACAGCACCCCAAAGCAAGGCCTCACTGAGGACAGGGTGAGCACAAGGCTGAGGACCCAGGCAGCCCTCCCTCCTCACTTGGGGGAAGCGTGAGGCAAGTCGTCAGCGTGTCCCCCAAAACACAGCCATCTCCTCAGATGGGCAAAAGCCTCAACCCAACAGGACCATGCCAGCCCTGGCCCCAGCACACAAAACACGTGTTTTAATGCTGTCGACTTGGTCCGCAGCCTCAACAGCCCCTTCCAGCCACCCCAGTGCTCCAGAAAAGCTGATAAAACGGATGAAACGCAGTGACCGTTTTACCTCTGAGTACAAACACCGCTCATCATGCAAAACAGCAGCAGTTCTGAGAGCATGTCTTCACGGTGCATTCTCCATTCAAAGAGGGGAAAAAAAGCCAGTTTTTAAAAACCAGGGCAAAGGCCATTAAATTATCATAAAGTTATTTTTACAATGGATATCCGAGGGCCAGCTTTGTGAATGGAGAGTTTATATGAGCTTCTGGAACCTGAAAGAAAACATGTTTGGCCCTCAAATTTGATTATTAGCTGGAGGCAGCACCATTTCATTGATGAGAGATTTCCAAGGAGAACTTCATAGAACTAGAAGGAGCAAAAGTGAGGATTAACATGCCTTTCTGCTCTACTTTGTCTGACGTGGTATATTTATACACCCACATCTTATGGCTTGTTCTATCTGTCCATGACTTCATCAGCAAAAGGTGTTTAGGGTTTGCCTGATATCAAGTGGCCAGACAGAATGCATTAGTCTAGAAATGGATTATTAAATTCCACTGTCAAACTGACGTAGTCAGTGGAATGCGAGTGCTTTAATCATATAATGCTTCATGTGTACTTTACTGTGAAAAAGTTCCCATACAGTGGAATTTCAGTCCTATTTTGATTTCTTCCTTGCCTAACTACTTACTTTCTTCTGCCAGGCTTTGTCCTACCCCAGTGTGTAACGGAGCCAACTACTGAGTTGCCTACAACTTCTTTGGGAGCTGCCTCTGCTCAGCAAAGCAGGCCAAGCCACCACATAGGGATCCTAAACCTAGGGAATTCAAACCACTCACGCAAAGGGTCACAAATCAACTCCCTTTCTTCTAAGCAGAAAAAGACATACATCCAAGCTGATGGAAAGACTCATTCTCCCCTTTCAAAATGCAAAGAAAGATTCAGTAGAATGCAGAAAACTGCTGCCATTAATGTTATGGGATACAAAACTGACAGCCCCACCATCTTACCTGCCAATTCAACAGCAATACTAGAAGGATTCTCTTCAACTCATCTCCAGTCCAATCAACCGCTTGTTTTTAAAACCACATTGTTGCTGTCTTCTAACATAGCCCCTGCTGAATTTGTCCCAATACAGATTCCCAGTGTTCCTACATAGGATAACATCAGTAACTTGGATGAAATCAAACATTTTCTAGCCACAAAGGACCAGAAGATGTGGGGTTTTTCTTTCTAAGATGTAAAAGACAGTATCTTTTTTATTTGATTGTTGGTGGGTTTGTCTTCTGATCAGAGTTATCAGATGACATATGCTGTTCTGAGTTAGAACCACTTCAACTCCAAAAACCTATTTGTGGGTCTTATTTCAGCAGAATTATTTTCTTCTCAAAGAAGTCTTAAGCTTTTGATAAGAAGTTAAGAAGTCACATCAGTTTTTGGGACTCTTTTCATTTTCTTCATCTCCTCACTTACTCTGATCAGGATTAAACTGGATTAACAGAACTGGCACACTTTGGTCCTGCTTCAGACTGCATTCAGTTTAAGTTTCCATTTACTCTACCACGATTTTTCCAAAATACTCCTGCTGACAAAGCACTAAATGATTCTCAGCAACCAATCACATCAGAAATTATTTAATTCTCCACACATTCTCCAAAAATATATGCAAAAATAAAAAAATGCAGAAAATTCAAGCCAGGTTTAAGGGTTGGTTTGGTTGTTGTTCTTTAAGTCCCAATTGCACTGAAGCCAAGAAAGTTTTCATTTAAACTAGATAAAGCAATGCCCTCTAGTGTTCTGCAGAGAAATCTGGTACAAGGCTGCCCAAAGCCTTAAAAAATTCAAGCTCAGGATTGCTGTACCATCTCAAGTGACAAGTAAAGTTTTGAAAGCTTACGGCTCACGTGCAGCATCCTTTGTACATTCTGCACACAAGTGTGGCCTGTAGAACAATATGGGACCCTTTCCTTCCTTCCATTGCTCATGCTTGCATCAGAATTTCATGTCAAAAGATGCAGGTATTTTCTGGGCGTACACTGATCACTTGAGGTACATCTAGGAACAACAGGGGCTTTTGAGAAGCAGGCAAAAGCCTGATTCTTTCCTTCCCAGAGTTCACACAAAAAATGAAATCCAGCTCCCCTCTCATCACCTACAAATAACATCTGTGGACAGTTTTTTACTGTCTCCCCACTTGTGGCACGTGACAAGTCACATAATACCCACCCTGCACCTTCCCCAAGTACACACAGCATTTGGTACCATGTTACTGACCCACCACACAAGCAGGATGCTGCCTCTGGCTTGAAGAGCTCTCTTACAGAGAAATTTCCTCACAGCAGTAGCGTTCCAAGATGTTGATAAATTGCAAACAGAACTATCCCAACTCAAGAAAGATTTAAATAAAAGAGAGTATTCTCACAGTTCCAAAAAAACCTGCGGAGCTATCAAAATATTTATTTACAACCCGTACGCAATACAAAATTCAACTTTGCATCACACAAAGGACTGAAAGAGTTTTTATAACTGGAGGTCTGAAAAGCAAAAGGCAAAGTCCTTGATGAAGGCTGCCCTTAAATAGGCCGCTAGGAGTCTTTAAATTTTACAGTCCATTGCTTTTGAAAGACAACTGCTGGACTCTAACATCTAGACAGAATAGAAACTTGAATGCCTTTGATTAAACTTATAATCACATCAAGTACTTTTAAAATAATAAACAACAAAAAATCCCACATGTTGACCGCTGTGCTTTTGATACTTTATGTGCCATAAAAACCACACATCAAAAGCTGCAATGGGGGGCGGGGGGGGGGGAAGAAAAAAAAAAGATTAAAGTGAAACATCAGTTCCACCCATGTCCTACCTGAAATAAGGGAGGAAAAGATGAAACTCTGTATTTTCTGGCAACATAAGGGGGACTGGTATACTTAGAATACTGCCAATGCAAAGACAGAACCAGAGCCATAAAGTTGCTAGCTGGAATTTGTTTCTTACCTGGAACAATTTCAACAATTACAAGCTGGTCTATTATCAGTGTTTCACACTCTTATTAGGACATTAACAGGAGCAAGGTTAATATAAGGCATGGTTTCTTTGGAAGGAAGCTAGCTTGGCCTGTTTGACAGGTAAAGAGAGAAGCTTACATCTTCAAGCTAGGCAACACCCTGCACCTTCCAGAGGAATTTATTTGTAAGAACAAAATAAAAGAAATAACTTTAACAGGTTTTGTTCACACAATTAAGTTCTCCAAACAAAAGCCTGCCAGGCTGACCGTTGCTCTAAAAAATTATTGTATATAAACAAAACATCCAGTGAGATCACACCTCAGGTAAATTCTAGACTTGACCTGGCACTTGTGATGAACCTCTTAGGGCACTGTATTTGTAGCCCTTGTGTCTGAGGCTGCAATATAGAATTTGGATGTAGAAGTGGGATCAAATTAGGAATTTTTAAAATTAGGTTTAAGCTTAGGAACTCCACTTTAAATTTTAAATTACATTCCCCTCTTCTCAGAGGGCAATCAATACATATTCTAGTCAAACAAGCAGATACTTGGGGTTCTTTTCTCTAATGGGGAGTGGTTACTGCCAAGCATCCTGCTCTGCAAAGAAATTATTTTTGATCTTGTTATGTATGTAACTAAATTAAGGAAAAAAAGAAAGCAGTTTAGAGACTATCCAAAAGACAGCCAAGGGAGGATATCCAGTATTGGTACACTGCACTAGGAAATATTTTTTTCTTAGAGGTCTGACACAATACATCTGTGTGACTGATTATGTGCACAGAACACTGTCCTGGAGAAACTGCTTGCATATATATTTTTTAAAAAACCCAAAAGTTCTCAGGATCAGCTTCTTCCCTGCTGCATTCTCATTTTATTTGCAGGGGAAAGTGTGGGGAAAGGACCATTCAAAACTCAGGGTACAGAAAAACCAAGGGAAAGATCTGGGGAAGACAGCCATCATCTTGAGAACCCACAATCTCCAGCCTGACGGAATGAAATAGTTTTTCCACTTCCTTCAGTTTATTCAACAGTCCAGTGCCTCTCAGACACATTTTCACTTTCTCCAAAAAGAAGCAGAACAACCTGAAAGAGAATGGAGAAAAATGCTCCAGGCATGGAGAGGAGACACATACCTATTGCCATATCTTGAGATGATGTGTATTGTTCTACAGGGCTGGGAGCATTTTACTAGTGCTTCACTTTGCAAAGATGCCAAGAGCATCCAGGTAAGACACTGAAACTGAAGTGCACGTAGTTTCATCAGTGAAGCATAAACTGAGCTCTTCCATTCTTCCACTTGGCCCTCTTCTTGCACAAATGTTTTATTACGAGACTAGCGCTGGTGCATTCTCAGTTTCTTTCTGTGTCACCATCTGCAGGTACTTCAGTCGCATGGGAGGAAGTTGCTCATAAAGGTCAAATCCCAAAGGACTCTCTGCATTCAGCAGTCTGTAGTAGAGTAGGTGCTTTTTCAAGGTCTGAAGAAAGAAACAGCAGCCATTAAGCATGTCTGAAAAGAATCTAATCTTTTCCACCTTGTCTCCAACACAACAAAGTGACCTGCCAGATAGTACAATTCCATCACGCCCAACATATTTAATTACATCATCTTCAAGAGAAGAGCTATAAAAGGTGAGCTTCCAAGAAAATTCACTTTTGATTTGCATGAGATTTCCTCTTCTGAACACAACTCCACTGTCTCCTCAACAACCACTCACAATGACTTCTCACCAGAAGCCCAAGTGGGGTTTTGAGTGGGATCTAAGAATTTACACTGGATGATAAACATAAAGGGCCAAATGACCCAGCTCTGTCACACAAATGATAGACTTTGGCAAGTTCCCGAGAGAAAGAGAAACCTTACATCTGTTTTGTTCTTTCTGAAGGAAGCATCCACCTAAGAGTTAAGGGAGATCACTGCTGGCCACTTATTCATAGTTGTGCTAGAATCATCTCTCTAGGACCTATCCCTATCCAGATATAATGCAGTTTGGGCAAGAAGCATGGAAATACAGTACAGGAGATTTATCTAGGTTCCAATGGGCTCAGTGTTTGAGCTCAATTACGACAAGAACCTGATAATAGTATTTATATAGCCGTTGCAGGTCAAATTCCTGCTGCTAATCTCCCCTCATTCTCAAATTAGCAAGGTAGTCAAACACAAATTTCAAAAGCCAAAGCTACCATATCTGAAAAACTTAAGTCCCAGCGGCACAGACGAAACCTTACAGATCCTACCTCATCCACCAACAGCCATGTCTTCCGCAGCATGCTTTTCCGAGCAGCATCAGTCTCCTAGGAACAAAACACATACTTTGCTTAATATGGCGCAGTGCTACCTTTGCCTACAGGCATACAGGACTCCAGGAGGATGTTTTGCTCATTATGATGATGCTCCAAAGAGCAGCTTGTTGCATCGGAAAGGGCTTGAGATGGCTATCACTTGGATCCTGCCTCTCTCCTCCTTCCCCTGACCTGAAATTCAGCTGACTTCACAACTTTCAGACAGAATGTAGATCAGAGGTGAAGTGTTAGCACAAGAACCACTGATAAAGGCCCCAAGGCCATGGGAGGGTTTCTGCTTGGTTATTCAAGCAAGATGAAAGGAAAGAGTATTCTGCACCTTATGACCGCCCCAGGTAGAGGCTAAATGTATTACAAGCTCTCTCTGCCTGATCAGCTCCCTCATCCTCTCTGCTTCATTCTTCCACCCCCGGTACCATAGCCCACGCAGTTGCTGACTTTAAAGGTTTATATAGGATTGGCTACCATTAATGCAAGTGCTTTAGGGTATAATGAACAACAGCTGCTGTCCTCCTCTCATATGTGGATTCTCAAACAGCTATCCAGTCCTCAAAACATTTGCTTACAATCTTTATTTTCAAGCCCAGGGTCAGTGATTTACCACAAGCCACACCAGACCCTTGGGAAGAGCAGATGCAAAACCCAAAGCTTCCAGCCTCGAGGCTCTGCTATCCATTACCTACCTGCATCGTGCTGTCTTGGGAGAAAATAAAGCTGTTCACATGAGCCACAGCCACCACGTAAAGAACAGGGCACCAGGTGTGGCGCAGTGCACCAGTGACCAGCGTTCGGAAGTAGAGTCGTAGGAGGTTCAGGTTATCCTCAGGAGGGGAGGTGTATCGCTCAAGAGGCACAGGGAACTGCAACAAACCCACCCAGAGGCAACAGTACAATTTTTGTCAGGGTCTAAGTAGCAAGGGGAAGTTCATGACTTTAGGGTGCCCTTCCCCAGCTGTTTATGTGTGCACTCCCATATAATACAATGTACCTCGATGGCACACATCCCGCTTGGAGCAAAGCTGTTACTGCCCACACTGACTAATGTGACACGTCTTTGACAAAGCATCCTCAAGACCTCTTCGGCTTTATAGAGAGATGTTTTACTGGTTAAATCACTGCAGTTGCTTTTTGGCACAGGTAAGAAGAGTGGTTTCAAAATGAGGAGACAGAGTACTTTCAACAGCACCGCATCCTGCTAATGTACCAGAGAGGCTTACACAGACCTATGTGTTTAGCCAGAAAAGGAAATCAGATGTATGGACCAGAATTAATATTGTTGTTAAGTGAAGTTTCCAACATTTTCTGACTTCACTGTCTAGCTTTGAAAAATAGGTCAGTAAAGCTTTTAGTAACAACTTTGTTTTGTTTGCTTTTCCCCTCTCCAGAAATCCAATTTTTATTCTTCTCAATTTTGAGAGAAACTCTCTAGTGCTAAAATTACGTATTTCACTTTGGAGCATGTTCTTTGGACGATTAAAGACAATCACTGATTTTACTCAATTCAAAAAAGGAGTCTGCCCACAAGGATATTCCTATTGCCCAATAGGGTATTTTTAACTCAACTTAAGGCAAAAAGGGAAAAAACCCAAACAAACAACACCTCCCCAAGTGATCTTGCTCAAATTTTCCAACACATAATTTGTTTTCAACCAACACGGCATTGTTCAAAGTATTCAGCATTTAAAAAAATTCTAAGCACATGAAAAACAATCTGCTTTGAAATGTTCTCTGTTGTAACATATGCCACAATTCTGATGTTACTGAGGGATCCCGTGTTGAGGGATCAAGACAAGATAAAGCACGTGACATAGAATCAAGGCTTTCATCTGGAATATGGTGTTCAGCTCTCTTCCCACATATATTTGTGGAATTGGAATAGAGATAGGGAACATCAAGAGAACAGAGAGCTTATCATAAGAAGCAGGCCAGAGTATCCTGGTTTAAGAAACAAAGGCTCATCTGGCCATAAAGATATGGAAAAACTGGCTGCAGGGCTACTACAACCAGAGCAAAAGTGCTGCAACCACACAACCGAAAGCACTGATCTCACGTAAACTGCTGGTTCATAGTGGTTTGGAAAAAAAATTTTGAAAGGTTATCTTTTTATTAGCAGACTTTAGGCTAGATCAGGTATTGTCTGTCAATTGACATAGAACTTACAAGCCAGCTAAACTCCATCTCTTGCACTCTGCTCATTCAAAGCAAATGCAGTCCTGTACTTGACAGACAGAATTTTTCACTGAGTTACCCAGCAAAGCACAACTCCAGTATAACTACATGTGGAAACACGGTTGAGAGGGGAAATGGCTGTTTGTCCATGCACTGGGCAAGGAAAAGTTTCTCATGAAGGTGAGAAGAGACTTATTTAAGGGAAAGCTAATTGCCAGCAGAAAAACATGGGTGCAGACTAGCCCTTCATACATACAGGCTGTAAATTAGAAGGAGGTTCTCAATCATTACACCAGGCAGGGTGTGGGACAGTTTCCACTGAACACTGAACAATTTCACAGCTCCTGCCCGCCACATACATACACTATCTGCTCTCAAAATGAAGTTCAACAGGTTTCTGAAAATGATTATGTGACAATGGCCGACACCTACAGGGGCTGGACTCTTTTCTTCAGACTTACAATCAATCAAGCTGTTTAAATTAAAAAATAAAAAAAACCAAAAACACCACCAAAAAAACCCCAAACAAACAAACAAGAAGAAAACATACACACTGCTGTCACAGCCCTAAATCAAAAGAACACTGCTCTCCATCCCTATGCTGTTTTACATTCCATGCATTGGACTTTATTCAAGGAGAATGAAAAGCTTCTAAGCAAAGAAAGCATTATTCTACTGGCTAAGGAGGGATGAGGAAGAAGGGGAAGTGCTGGGAGGATGCCCAAATCAAGGTTGGAAAAACACAGTCAAGAGCCCAGTAACCAAGAAATATGCAGTGACAGGTAACTACCATAAGTCGGGATTACCTGCTGGAGCGGCACTCCCAGTGCCCGCAGGATACTTGTGTGCTCCCCAAAAACAGAGAGACGCAGATGAACGCTGAAATGCTTCTGTAGAGGTAGAAGAACAAAGACTCCAAAGAGTGGATCTCCAAAGGAGACACCTTCAAACTGCTCCAGGAGACTTATATAGAGATCGTGGAAGGAAGCCAAACCAGGGAGAGGAGCATCCAAGTTCAGGGAGTCCAATGCCTTGGGTTGGCAATACACAGAAAGAAGAGCAGCTGTGTAGCGGTGGATTGGTGCTTCTAGAAAGAGGTCACCGCCTGTGAGGAAAACACACATAAGCCGTGCAAGTTTGGCAGCAGTAGGGATGCTATGAAGGGTTTTAGCACGCCAGGTTTCCAGCAACAAGACCCACTGCAGGTTCCAGGTTACAGTGTTGACAAGATCAAGTGGGAGAGAGTTCAGTACAGCCCCACGTGTCTCTGCATTAGTCACTTTGTTGTAGAGGCTGATAAGTGGAAAGAACGGCCAGTCTGAAGGCAGGATGGGCCCTTTGACCTCAGGAAGCAGCATTGACTGGATGAGGTAATTCTGTCCTTGGTAGGATGCTTGGGAACGCATAAGGGTAGGCTGTAAGTGGACAAAATGAGAAAGGTAGCAGGAGCGAATGCAATGCAGATTTTGGTACGATTCTCTCAGCAGAGCACCACGAGTAGCCTTTGAAAAAAACGCTGCTGCAGAACCAGGCTGTGCCAGTTTGGCGCTGGTATCCAGATGCAGGATATCAGAGAAGTCAGCTGCTTCTGGCCCTCCAGCTTTCCCTTCACTGTAAGATAAAGACAATCATTCATTTTAAAAACAAACAGGGGGGAAAAAACAAAACACGAATCAAACACCACAGAAATTCATGTCTACGATCTTCCTGGATCAGGGAGACTAGTATACGTACAGCACTAACAACGCTTTCTACAGCATTCAGCTGTGATAATACTGAGTGCCTGTAAAGCATCAGTTATCTTGGTACTTACAGGGGATTCACAGAACTGTACTTAGAGTTAGCAACACTAAGGCCTTGCCATGAAAAACCTCCACACAATGCCAGCAATCTGCTGTGATGGCTGCAACCCCTTATCCAGAGAGGCTATCTACTTACCAACACAGCTGTCAGGGTGCCAAGATGAAATACCATGCATCATATAAGGTCTACATGAATCAATAAGACAATTCTTGAAACTTGCAGCTGGCAGTAACAAGGTCAGGGGAACCATACAGACTTGTGGTTAGAAATTTGGG